CCAGTTTGTGGGTGAGCCCCGGAGCTTCAAGCTAAGAGCTGGCCTTCCATGAACATGCTTGTCCTGTGGGTGCCAGGACAAGCAAGTCCTGGCACCCACAGGACTTGCTGGATGGTTGGATGGGGACCTCACCTGTTATTGGTTGAAGTAGGTCATTGGTTTGGTCATTGCGCACTCTCGGGAGAGCCCTCCTCCACACGACATAGCAGTCATGTGTTGCGGAGGTTTGGTTCTGCTCAGGGCTCATGCTGGCCATTTCATGGTTTGCCCTGTTGATGCCATTTTGTGGGGGGGCATCTAGCCAGTTTTGCTGGGTCCTGTCCCATGATTTGTGGAATTTATGGGTGGTTTTCCAAGGTCTTCAGTGGAACTTGTTAGTCCCCTTTTCTGTGTTTGGAGTCGGGTGTGTCTGCACTGCATCTGGGTCTTGGGGATTGGTTGGCCTTGAGTGTGATTGAGCCAACCTCTTCTCTTCGGTGGGTGTCCCTGCCCTGAATTGGGACCCTGCAGATTTCCAGTACATCCTTGATATCTCAAGTCTGAATGCCTTAACTACTGCACTGCGCAGAGCACCTTAAGGCTCCCAATCGGGGGTGCAGAGTGCCATATGGCACTTTTAGGTACAGTATAGGGAGCAATTCAAAATTATCGCAGGTACATGGGGCTCTTATCCTGTTCCTCAGGACTCCAGTAAACAGACGCCATTTTGAAAAAAAATTGTCAACATCCGTACTGACTGTGAGAACCTTAGTACTGAGAGAGTGACCAAGGCTGGCGCATGCAGGAGCAGATCACAGCACCACTGTACAGCTAGGGGCCACAACACCACTTAGTAATGTTGAATAAAATAGGTAACTAATTATTTTACATTGTGTCACAGATGATCCTGACTGTGATAAAAACTATGTACAGCGTTCAGATATCAGTGAATGCATTGCTAGTTATGAAATTCACCGCATGAGGTACAGACATAGCACCCAGCCATTGTTTCCTGCATCTATGCATCATGAAACGACCTCGTGTTCCTTCACAATATAACCCTGTGGCAATGGATTCATATTCGGGATTTTGTGACAGGAATGTGATAATAACAGCAGTTTTGTAGCTAGTCATAGCGAAATGTGTAGAATATTGGAGGCATTGACTTGCTCATGTGATTGCTGGCATCGTCTGTTTGTATTATGTGGCTCCATGCTGTGTTATGAGTTCATCACCATACCCACCAGAACTGCTTATTAGTCTGTTATGGTGCATATAAATGTTGATAGTGATATATAATGTGTGTGTGTATATAGCAAAATAACAGCAAGAACACTGTTTAGATGGTCTAAGAATATACAGTACAGTACTGTAACATGCGAGTCACCATATATGAGCGCCATATTTTTTAGAATAGCAATGTTCCACACATTTATCTATATAACTTCCACAAATTATATAATATTGAATAATATTACTGTAAAAAACTAGATATAAAACCATTCACAGATACTGAAATAATTATATAAAAATGTATTTGGAGCAGCCCATGCCACACTCAGCTGTTGGCTACTAGGCTGACCTTGGATTCATCTTCTGTGTATATAAACTCTCAACACACGATCTTTGTGGTTTATCATGGTGCACAAAAACATGTAGATAATTAATAACAGCAAAAACCCTGTTTGATTGATCTTAGAATATATTATATGGGTCACCATATATGAGCTCCATAATTTTGAGCATAGCGATGTTTCCACACATTGAACTATATAAATTACACAAATTACACACCTCTGAATAATATTACAGCAAAAAAACAGACAAGAAACGAATAAAAGACATTGAAATAATGATGAAAAATTATATTCATGGCAACTACCGTCCTACAGCTGGGTCGAGCTATCGCCCCACAGTGGGTCATTGTGGCCCAGTTGCATTTGTTATGTTCATGTCTTCGCCAATCTCGATGACTGGCTGTGTGGGCCTCCAGTCAGTCCGTGTGTCAGCTGGCCAGGGATCTGGTTCTTTCCCAGCTTGTTGAGTTTGGGTTTCTGGTGAACTAGTGGAAGTCTCAGTTGGTGCCATCCCAGGTTCGGACTTGGCTAGATCTCATTTGGGACTCTCATCAGTGTGTCTTTTCCTGCCTCTGGCAGCCTTGCTCTGCCGGCAACTTCGTTACCATCCAATGTTGGATTGGCCCTGGGTGGCTCACTGGCTTGGTCATGTGGTTGTGCAGGAGCCTGAACTTTGCCTGTCTTGTCTCTACCCAGGGTAGGGTTTGGCTCTGGGCGCTGTGCCATTTTTCCAATTTAGCCCCTTCTGTTACTTTTGGGAATTGGGGAGTTTGGACCCCTCCTGCCCTTCTTCAGCTCTTGCTTTGCTAACTTGCTCTGTGGAGCTGGATGCTTTGTGTGATTCTGCTTCTGACTTCTTGGGGTTTGATTCTCTGTGTGATTCACATGTGGGGAATGTCCAATGGTCTTGTGGGTGGGCTGTCTCACTTTCAGCCTTTTACAGTGGAGTGGACCATCAATGGCACAACCTTCCCATTAGCTTTGTGAGACATTCAGGCTCTCCAAGGTGGTCCTCTTTACATGGGCATTGAACCAGCTATTTTGTTCCTACTTGGTTCCATTACTTGATTGCATGGCTTTCACAATGGAATCCTTTGGACTGGCCTTGTCACAGCAGTGGTGCATTTACCTCTTTTCTCCCAGTTCAGTTTATTTGGGTGTTGGTCAGTCTGGAGTCATACTCAGGAAAAGCAGTCTTTCTGGCTCCTTGGTGACTAGCCCAACATTGGTTTCTGGTGCTTCTAGACCAGTGGCTGAACCCAGGCGTTTTTCTATGGCTCCGCCACTTCCAGCAGATTGGCCTGGCAGTGTACGTCACTGGGTTGAACTTTCCCTGTGCTTTATGCATCTGGACTTTGATGTGTTTTATTGCCATTTGTATGGTGAGCAGTGGGTAGGTTTGTTATTCTCACCTACATCTTTCTATGAGCTGACAGTAGGAAGTAGCCTGGCATTCTTTTTGCCATTATTTGTCTCTTCAACGCTTGAGCTTCTGTTGCTTACATTTGTTATAGACACCTCTTTGGTGCCATTCCAACAATTCACTGATATCCTTACTTTGGTGGCCTGCTTTCTTTAAAGCAATGATCTGAGCAATGTTTTCTTTGCTTAGTTCCTTGGTAGGTGACTTATAATAATGTCATACCACATGAGCTGCTAATAAGTGCAAAAAACAATGGTCGGCCACAGAGCATAAAGCTCTGTGGCCGACCATTGTGTCTGGCTGGTCAGACACAATGGACAGGCCAGACACATGGTCGACTGTATGTCTGGCTGTCATTGCTCCCACAATGACAGCCAGACCGCCACTGGCTGTGGTATTTTGGTTGCTTCAGAGAGCTAATGTCTGCTCTAAGTAAAGAAAACCAAGACTGACTTCTGCCTTTGTGACCTGGGCTGACTTTAGCCATGTGGGGGTTAGTGGCACTGATTGGTGGTTTCATTTTTTTGCCACGAGGTCGTGAACAGTACCATGATGTCTTAACCACTCGTCAACTAGTTAACTGACCTCCAACTAATTGAGGTGGGTCCATCATTTCATCACGGCCTTCTGAAAATAGTTTTACAAAAATAACATTTGCTTTGAAAATAACACTTATGGGATAGCGACTTCGCAACAAGTTTCGGCTGAAGCATCTGCAGTCTCCCAGAGGGATCCTATGGTGGGTTTGGCTGGGGTGCATCATTTGTTGTGTCCAGTGGCAGCTCTTCACTGCTGCCTGCATGTCACTGGTTCTGTCTCACTGGATGCCTTTTTGGTTGATCCCATTTCCTTGGTTCACTTTTCCAAGGCGCACATTTCCCAGGTTGTCCACGGTGTCATCCAGTCTAGACTGCCTGTGGTCTATCCATGGGCCCATGTTGTTCATAAATATATGGCTCTAGCTGCTGTTTTCTATTATATGTCATGGGCTGATATTTGGGTTTTGGCATTCTGAAAGGATGCTGGCAGCCCAGTATTTCATTAATGTTCCTGGGCCCTGTCGGCAAGTGCAGCTTTGGGCTCTGTTGCCTTACCCCGTTTCTCTTTTTTGTCCTAAGTGCCTGCCGCCAGTCACTTCTGGTAAGTCTCTTTCTTGTTCTCTGTGGTAAGTGTAGCATCAGGGACACGTCCCTCCAGAAACCCTGCATGAATATAACGAAATGCAAATTTCTGGAGGAGCCCTGGTGGCTCCCTGCTGTCTCTCCAAGTTCGTCAGTTCATCAAGGGTTTGCTCACCAGATCCAGAACTGACATGGAGAACTGGCTGAGAGCCGAGCTGTGCCGCCTGGTAGTAATAATCGGTACTAACAATTTTCAAGTTTGAGTGACTCCTTTGTTCTGTGTAACTTGTTTGCAATAGTTCTGTGGCAGCCTTTGGAGTTTTTTTAGGCTTCATTTTCTGTGCACCTTCTAGTTGTCTGTAAGGCTGTGCTGACTTTCTGGAAGCTTCCTCTGGTGAGGAGATGGATAGTCACTTGCTCTCTGCACCTCTGTGAGGGGGGGGTGGCTAGGTTCTGGCTTTTGTCTCTGGAAGGCCAACAGTTGTAGCCACAGATAATGTGACAGTTCAATGTGAAGCAATGTCTGGAAGACAGCTTCAAGGAGCTACCAGGACTCCTCCAGTAATTGGCATTTCATTACTTTCAATGCAGGTTTTTTATATCTTTGTGTCATCCTTAAATAAATACTGGTCTGCACATTAATTAAGCCACATTTATTTGATTTACACGTGATGAAACTAACAAAAAATGCTTATACCTGTATGGTGCTTTAAATTATCAGCAAAACTTAATTTGCATTATAGTAATTTGCTTTTATCATTTTACTACCAATTACAGTACTATTATTAACATGAATTTTATGTTTTCTAATTAATATCTGTCATATCCACTATCATTACTTTGGCATCTAATATTTGTATGTTGCATTGGCCATTTTACTAACTTAGCCATATTTTACAGTTGGCACACCTGTGTCTTTATCGTGTGGCTCCATGACCCTGGCATCGACCGGTGACCCACAATCCCCTGGGTCACCCACTCAGACAGAAACTGCAGACCTTCATGACTTCGACACTCGTGACCTCGAAACCCCTAGTGTGACACCTTCCAGGCAGGATACTCTATCTCCAGAGACATCTGTTACCTCCAGTCCTCAGCGAGGTCACGACCCTGAGTACCCACATCATCCAGGTCAGCACCGCCACTACCAAAGGGCACCCTCCTTAGACACTAACTCTACCATGTCATCACGACAACAACTGAATTCTAACCCTGCTCTCATGGAGGGATCTATAAAAGAATATTCTTATGTTGATAACTGTCATTATCAGGAACCAGCAGATGACAGTGGGGATAATCTATCGCATGAGTCCTATGAGCTAATTGAAAGGGAGGGGGGTAAGTGGGCAGAGTCCCAGTCAAGCTCCAGGGCTCCTAGTAGGTCTGGTTCCAAGCTAATGATTAATAGTGAAATTGGAAGTACAGAAGGCCTGGAGTGGGCAGAACTCAAAGGGGATAATAATGGTAATAGGGGTCGTGCAAGTAGCTATACTGGCAGTCTCCCTCGTAGTCATGGCAGCAGTACTAATAAAAAGCAAACAAATGGTTATACTGGGAGCCTTCCAAGAACTCACAGTAGCAGTCAGTCTTGTACTTTATCCCGCAGCTTAGCTGGAAGTCGAGCAAGTTCTAGAATTACTTTGGAACTTCCCCTTGATTCTCGGCCATCCGAGAATGATGATGAAGATCTTGCAAGTCCAGGTAGTCCCGAGTTTCATGAAAACAGTGTGTGTGAAATTACTAGTGAGAAAGGATACATCTTATCAACTCGTCATCTTGGAACTATCACCATCACAGATACTTCCTCAATGTTTAGTCAGATTTCTCATTCACGTCATAGTGGCTTAGAACGCCAAGAAAGCCTTCCAGAGAGTATTAGTATTAGATCACGCTCAAGTAGTCATTCTAGAGTAGGTCGAGAGAGTCGTGAAAGTTTACGTGAGGTAGGGGATTCTACAAGCATAAGCACTATGACCATGACAACTAGACTCTCTGCCAGTATGAGAGCTGCCAAAGAAATGGGTCATTATGTTGATTATGGCTCATCACAGGAAAGTCTTCATAAAATGAGCTCTTGTGAAAGTGATGGTGGCTCATCACTCTCTTCACATACTAGATCTTCTACAACACCTAGACCACTAGATCTTCAGCATGGCAATTTCCTACAACACAGGAGAAGTACATCAACAAGTCCTCCAAGTATTACATCTTATTCCTCTCAAACTAGACCCCGCTGTATGGATTTTTCAACTCTTCACAAAAAGCCAAAGTTTCACATGTATGGAGCAGGTCGAGGAAGTGACTCTGGTGGCAACACAGATAGTGATATATGTTCACCATTAGAAATTCCACATCCAATACCTCCTCCACCAGAAGATGTACGCGAGGAAGAGGAAGATGATGACGACTTAACCCCTTCTCAGGAACAGGTACAGTTTCTTCCTCGTCCAGCAGATATGGACCTGATTACAAGAGTTCGAGGTAGCAGTGATGAAGAGGAAGATGAACAAGAAGATTTACAGGACTTGGAATTAGAATCTGAACAAGAGGATCAAATTATTGTAGTTATAGAGGAGAAAGAAGAGCCTTGTATATTTGATTTTGAGATTTTGCCACCACCTCCAGAGGTTAAAGAAGAATCTCCTTCAAGTGGAGAAATGGATCTCACAGATACATCACGTGAGAGAAAAATTGATGAAAGTGATGCTTCAGAGCGCACAGTCATAGAAAGATTCAGACTTCCTGATGAACGACTTAACAAATTAGGTTCTAAAGATAGCCAGATGAGCATTGAAGAAATAGATGAATCAATTCTTGATAGGCGCTCTTCTATGACAGGGGAGCGAAGGCAGTCTGCTCACGATATTGGACGTAAATCCCCATATCCAACCTCAGAACGGAGACCATCAATTCAGGACATGGGTTGCATTTCTCCTTTGCTACTTGACAGAGAGCGCAGGTCTTCATTGCATGAATCTGAAAGGAAATCTCCTTATCTAGAAACAGACAGGCGATCCTCTGTTCATGATTTAGGCAGACGATCTCCATATGAAAGGGATAGAGAAAGGGAAGATAGAGAAAGGAAGTCATCTTCTTCTTCAGAAAGACGAAGCTCAGTATGCTCAGATCGTCGCAGTTCTGTATCTTCAGAAAGGAGAGGATCTGCTTCTTCAGAGAGGAGACCTTCTCTCTCAGACATTGGCAGAAGAACGTCAATATCAATTGAACCTGGGCAGAGATCACCATTTTTTGATGCTCCTGTTTTTGAATTTGAACCAGAGAGAGAATCTGATTCAGTTGAGCCAGATACCTCTTCTTCAACTCTGGCATCAGCATCAGAGAAAAGCCCAACAGTGTCTGATATAGAGAGGAAAAACAACTTCTTTAATGGATTAATGCTTAATGATTCACTGATAAGCATGGACGAGTTTACTGAAGCACTGATACCTCCCGAGGAAGCACCAGAGCCTTTTGCTTCAATATCAGGAGCACGAGTGATAGAAATCGTGGAAGGAAAGACGGACCATAAAGTGATTGTCACAACAGAGCCAGAAGAGGAAGAGGAGGAGGATGAAGATGAAGAGGATGATGATGAAGATGAAGATGAAGAGGAGGAGGAAGAGGAAGATGATGAAGAGGTATTCATAAAAGAAAAAGTTATAATTGCAAAAGAAGATAGTATACAGTCAGTAGAAACAGAGGGTGAAGAAGGGAATGAAGGTTTAAGAGGTAGAGAAGGTGCTGTTGGGGTTGACACCCTTGTCCTCGATGAGGATGATGCAATTGGTGCAGTTGGTGGAACAGAGGAAGACTTAGATCAAGATTATTTTGAGGATGATGATGAAGATGATCATGCACAAATGAGTGATCAATCCCCACAGTCTCCTGACCTTGTATCAGAGCCTGATGAATATCATGATGATTACCAAGAGCCCGAATACTACCAACCATTTACCCGACAGATTGACATAGGTTATGCTTTTCCCTCTCGCACATTATCTCGTATTAGTGAGAGAAGTACAACCTCTGAACAGGAGCACGAACAAGACCATATTGGTTTGCCTGAACCTGAGCCTGAACATACAGATAGCAAAATTTCCACTCCTACTGAAGAAAAACTTCCTTCAATTCCTTCTGAAGAGCAACAGGGGGAACTACCCTCTGATTATTCAAACTCAACCAGTGATGACAATCAGAGTGATAGAAGAACAAGTTTGAATGCAGAACAAGAAACTCCTCAACCATATACCACACAGTTCTTCTTAAGAGACCTACCAGAATTTGTGCCTGGAGATGAGAGTGATGAGTTCCCTTCCCCTCCTAGCTCTGCTTTCCTGGAGAATCCTCACACAGAACTTAGCCATATAGAAACTTATTATATGGAAATCAACCAAAGAGTGAATCAGAGTAGCGAAGGAATATATGACAATATACCTGTTAAATTTGAAGGTATTCATGAGGTTTCTGAATCTGAATCAGCATCTGAAGAAAATCACACACTTCAAGAGCCTGAAGATAATCTTGAGATGTTAGACGATGTACAGGCAGTTGAGGAATTGGAGGAAGAGCCAGGAACATCAGCAGTAAAGGAGAAAACTACTACTCCAAAGCCAAAAACTCCTACACGATTAAGAAAGGAATTGCCATCACCTTCTCCACCTCCTCCGCCACCACCCCCAAGGCCATTTATGCGACCTCCATCCCTATCCAGAAGTCCGAGTCCTCCTTTGACACCCCCAACTCCTATCGCTAGAGAAATGCCTATAACTAAGTATGATGGAGGTCAGGTCCTTGACCTTAGACACCGTGTGGCTATTGAGTTCGAGGTACGGGGGGGGCATCTCCATGAGAGTAGGGAAAACCTTTCTACTGCGGGTCTAACTGCTCAAACTGATAGTGGAGAATGGAATAGCTTTTAGTATTTTTTTTATAGATTACACATTTGTTACAGGAATAACTCTGAATATGTGCTGTTACTGTCTGTTACTGTGTCACAGTCCCTTACTTTGCTCACTTGACACTTTAAATTGTCACCTTATCATCATTGGGAAACACCTGCACTAAGATTTTTCTTCTTTGCTTAATTGCATAACTGTATAGATTTAAGAATGCAATTAATCTTGCAGTCTATTCTCTTTTTGGTGCATTATTCAGGAAATTTAAGCCTGTCAAGTATTATGTAGTGTGTAAATTACTGTTTGCTGTCAGTTAATTTAGCATCACAGTTATCATATCATATTGGTGTTCATGAGCAATATATTATAAGTCATGCAAGACACTTTTTAGCATTTTGATGTTGGTTGCTGTTCTACTGTTTCCTGTTAAACTTGTCTGAATTTGAAATGACGAAATTAGTGCTCTGAGATACTGTGTGTCAATGAAGCTCAATGGAAGATTGTTACTATGAATCTGTAAGCTTTAAATTAGAATAGAAGATTTTAAGCACCATATGCACAATGACATAACATTCCTACAATGGACAAGTATAGAAAAAAAATAGTTTTCTTGAAGAGGGTATTCTTAATCATATTTTCTTATTATTTTTCTCGTATTTTCATTTAAATTGAAAAGATTGAATGTTTTTCTGATTTATGTATTCGAATGTCAGTTGTAGGTAATTATTTAATTCTCATTGTCATTACAGGTTCATATTTTTCTTTTAGATAATACTTACATGCCACAAGAATTGACCAGTTTATCACGATTTTTCGCAAATGTAGTTAAGTTTATGACAGAGGAGGTAATTCTACTCTTTAATTCCTGGCATTAAAAGTCTAATTTACCATACAAGTCAGATGTTGATAGGATTTATGATTACACACAAAAGGCATCTTAAATTAAAGCTTATATATACCGTGCTGTGTATATATAAATATATATACACACCATTTTTTGCTGTGTATATATAAATATATACACACACACACACACACACACAATCATACACACATCCACACTGTAGTAACCCCCCTATAATCTGGATCTCTGTTTAGTAGATTTTTGGATTATCCAGACATATAAATTTCAATTTCATCACACTTATTATCCATGAAGTTTCAGTGTGATTTAGTGGATGAGGATACATGTACATATTGGTACCACTGAACACGAACACAAAACATTTGATTAATTTCTTTCATATATATTGATGCATTCTTATTTAAGCAAAATTACAGGTATTTTTAACACATGTTGCGCTACCAAATTAAATATAATTACAAAATTACATCTTGCAAACTACGTGGGGGCAGAGCCGATTTGTTACAGTGGGGGAACTTATTGGAACCGTCATGCCCCTGATCAAATTTTTTTTTTTTTTGGGGGGGGGGGGAGGACCAACAGCCATTATAATGCATTTACAGATGTGGTATATACTATACCAGAATAGTACCTGGATAGTGAAATATCTTCATAATAACTGAAGCACATTTAGTTAAGTACAAATCCATCATAAACAATCTTCATCCAAAGCTGAATTTAAAAAATCACAGAAAATTAATTTATTACATATTTTTAGTTTTGAGGGTTATGTAAATTAGTGCAATCATTGATAAACAATTTGTTGTTAAACTTGTAAATATATTCAAATTATTCACCATGCACACAACAGAATGATCAAGATTTACACACCAAAAGTTGGCTGGTCTATAAAAAATTCATTAGGCATTCATTTATCATGCATTCCTCATTTTGAATATTACATATAATATAGCAATCACTTGCAAACAGTTTAGTGTCCAAAAAATATACAGTATATGATCATTATTGGATCCAAAAATTTAAAATGATTATCAAGAAGTTTTTCACCAAGTGGTGGTGAGGGAGTGAGTGTAGTGTAGGTGGTGGAGGCAACAGCAGACTCGGGGAGCTAGCTGAAGTTCCTGCCTCACACCACCAGCCAGTCTGTCAGCAGAGAGGAGAGGTGGTTGTGCCTTGTATAACATACACAAATTTTCTGCTCAATGGAAATATATTTCCACACTTTCTTAGCACCTACAGCCCCATGACTGCTGTTGTAAGACATCTTGCTAATAAAAACTGAAAATGCAATTCAGATAATGTGGTAAACGATAAGACTGTAGACTACAACCAAGCAGCTCTGAAGTTCAGAGACTTCAGGATTTCCTATCTGGTACATTTTTTGGTTACTTAACCCTTAGACTGCGCAATACATACATATATGATTTGACAAAAAATAATTTAAGATAAGTTATAAAACTTGCACAAACACTTTCCAATTTTTTTTGCATAATCAACTAGGCAAATGCTCCAACTTTGTCTAAATGATCACAGCATAACTTGAAAAACCAGAGAATCAAAATTAAATTTAAAATTGAATATTGAAAACTTCAGATTTTCAATTCAGAATAAAAAATATGAACTATCATTAATTGTTCATTTAATGTTTTTATTCTCTCAGAATAGTATATGATCTTCATTTTCATTAAATTAGAATATAGGTTTTTAGTATAGTTTACTGTAAAAAAAATCATCAATAGGACATTTGAAATATGTGGCAAATTTAGAAAAAAAAAATTATAATTCCAAATGTATAAAGTTTATGAAAAATCCATTCTGATGGGATTGTAGGACAGACAGTAGAGCACACAATATGTCAAATTAGTGAGAATCGGTTAATAACGGGAATTTTAGAAGCCACTCAAAGTTGAAACTCTGGTTTCAGAGATAATTGAAGTTGAAGTTATTAACAATGAATATAGGTAGTTTTAAGTCGTTAATTTAATTGTACGTTTTAATAAATATTGTTTGGCATTCGTACTCGAATATGTGAAAGTTGTAGGTCAATATGTGTTGAAATGAAGTCAAGAAAAAATAACCCCCCCAAAACTCAAAATACTGTATAGGGATAATTATAATAAATATAATGATTTAGGGGATATATTTAGGGTATCCTTTATCTAAGTGAAAAAAACCTAAAACCCTACCCCTAATCATCAAAACAACCTAAAGAGACAAAGAAAATAGAGTTTGAAATCAGAGAAAAAATCAACCCCAAAAAATAAAAGTCCCAAGTTTTGCTAGTTGTGACTGACTTATTTGTTGACCAATTTCCTTCTATCCATTATTTCCATAGTTATCAAAATGTAAGCATTCTCCAGGATGTAAGGGTTAAAACAAAATCAGATAATAAACAAAGGAGAAAAATAACTAAAATTTTAAAACATAAAAATTTACCTAGAAAAAATATTTTTGGGACATTGATGAAAGTAACATATATTAACATTGGATAATGTTTTTATATGATATATAACAAAATAGATCATACTGTATTAACATAGTTATTCATTATGTTTTTTGTTGTTATGTATTACTCGGCAATGATATAAAGGCACCAACTGCATATCCACTTTGTGGACACTTCTTACTATTATTCTTCTTCTTTGAGCATAGGACAGGTGCTTGCATTTCTTTATTACTGCATAATCCTTCAGTTACAGTTATTAGGAGCTGTTGTTCTTACCAATAAAACGTTCTTATCTTTAAAAAATTCATCTAAAATGAATTTCTGAAAATATTTTTTTGAGAGTTTCACGACACTGAAGACAATAAGTTGGAGATTTGTTTAACATTTTTAAGTTACTTTTACATAATTTGAATATTTTTCGATTTTATGGCCCCCTAAATTCGCGGTAATATGCGCGGTCTAAGGGTTATGCCTTGCTCATGACTTCTTAATGGGATTGTGTGTTTAGCAGCCAGTACTCTGAGCTTTGTCTTGTGGTTGTTGTTTACTTCTGTCTCTGCTGTAGATTCTCATGGCTCCTCCACTTTGTGCATAATTTTTAACCTAAGTTACATGTAACTTTGAAGGGTGTCCCACTGTTTTTCAAACCCTGATTGGCACCCCCTTGTTGTCTCCAATGCTCCTGTTGGGTGCAAAGCTATTTCCATCTGTGGTGTGTGACATGTATTGTTGCTGGATGTTGACATTGGTAGAGGCTTCATTTCCAGAGGGGCTTATCTTGGAGTGGTCCAATTAGGTGGGTTGCCTTGTTCTTATAGTTCCTTCAACCTCAGGGGTGTTGCTCTGAGAGGTGAACACCCCCATCCACATTTATTGAAGCAGACGTTGAATATTTGGTTTTGGACTTACTGTATGTGCCAAATTGGCTGTTTCTCGAGTCTCTTCCTGGCTCAGTTGGCAAACTAGCCTCTATTAAGACTACCATACAGTTGGCTTCTGGTCTCCACTCCATTATTGAAGACTCCAAAATGGTCTAGGTAATAAGAAGACTATTGAAGATTATTGAAGACTCCAAAATGGCCTAGGTAATAGTTTCACAGGTGTCTGAGGTAGCTCTTGTAGGATCAGCTGTTTCTAAGCTGGTACTGGAGGGTTGTCTCTCCACTCTTCACTCATGTCTTATTATGAGGACTTGAAAGGGTTTCTGGCATGGACTTAGGTTCTGAACCTAGTCCAAGAAAATGGAAAAGTTGTTTGGAAAGCCAAAAATTGCAGTGAACAGACAAAAGCACAGACATAAGGCAGGAAATGAAAAAGGAACTGGCAACAAATACTAAACTAGCAAAACCCAATAAATAGCAGAGTCCTAATTTTTTTTTTTTTTTGGGGGGGGGGGGAAGATACGAAGAGGATGGGATAACATCTAGGTCAGCAACAGCTACAGAAGAAGTAAAAATCATAAATAAAATTGTTGGGTCAGTGGAAGACCTTGCAACCAAAGATAATGTTTGTGATTGCAGAAGAATTGTTAGGTTTATGAAGGAAATAATCACCCCCTTCAATTGGCCATAAATAGAACTAAACAGATGACAGAAGTGCTCAGAAATATCAGAAAATTACAGTGATGAGAGTGGAAAAACTATGGCCATTAAGAAGTCTATCAAAAGAAGACAGAATGAAGCTTAAATGATACATCAATGAAGAAAAATGACTACACAAAGATAGGAATGAGAGATTAATATATATACTGTGTGTGTATATGTATGTATGTATGTATATATATATATATATATATATATATATATATATATATATATATATATATATATATATATATATATATATATATATAATATACACACACACACACACACACACATACATATACCTTATGTATATAAGGACGTATATATATGTATTTGTATATGTATGTATATATATGTATTTGGCCAAAGAGCCAAAGCTCAACCCCCGCAAGCACAATTAGGTGAGTACATACACACTCTGTATATATTTTTACTATGAGTAAATAGGGATGAGGAATCCTGAGAATGGAACATAAAACCAATAATCAAAATCACTAAAGGTCAAAACAGGAAGAAACAAGTCAAGAAAAATGTTGTATAACAATATAGATGGTGTGAGATCCTAAATACTAAAGTTAAGTGATGTAATACAAATGGAAATATCTGTTGTTGTTGTTGTTGTGGCATACAAAACATGAGGATAGAATTTTATGAGGTGGTATTGTCATCGGGCAGGAAGCAAAGAACAGAGACACCGCTTCCTTCAGAATCGGCAGAAAAACTTCAATAAGGCAGCCAACGCCCAAGCCGCCGAGGCATGTGCACCGATCGCTGGCTTGAAACCCCAGCACCTCCACATCCTCCTCGAGCCAGTCCGAAGACAACTCTGCAAGGAAAAGAAGCACAAGACCAAAGCCAAATGCCCATGGGTGTGCAAATCTTCAGCAACCAGGGATGCCAAAAGGGAAGGGACCTGTATATGAAGCTGCACCTGTCCAATATTGCGAGGAAGCACAGGGGCGAACAAGCATGCATTAAGGTGCTCAAACTTGGCCCCCTCAGGTAAACCTGAATGACCATAGTCAACGCTTGCCATTCATACATGCGGGTCCAACAGAACATATGCCACGCCCCTAGCGAAAAGAAAGGGCAGTCTACCAGCCAGGAAGACTCCTGCACCTCGTAACACACCCAGTAAGGAAAAGAGGAGCCAAACTCAAAAGATGACGGGTCCATTATCAAAGCGTAATCCAGGTCTCGCAGGAGGTAAGCCGCAAGGATCTTGTGATCCTGTGGTCCCGGGTTCGATCCCGGGCGCCGGCGAGAAACAATGGGCAGAGTTTCTTTCACCCTATGCCCCTGTTACCTAGCAGTAAAATAGGTACCTGGGTGTTAGTCAGCTGTCACAGGCTGCTTCCTGGGGGTGGAGGCCTGGTCAAGGACCGGGCCGCGGGGACACTAAAAGCCCCGAAATCATCTCAAGATAACCTCAAGGGTAAGCCACATGCCTCTCACACCTTCCTAAGCAGAATGCAGGAAACCGAAAACCTGCAGAAGGAGGGAACCGAAGAACCTAAGGGAACTCGAAACCAAATCCAGGGAGGAGCCGAACTCACATCAAACTCGTACAGGGAGGAGGGATACAAAAACCCCTTCCCATGCAACAACAAGCCCTGCACTGAGGGTACCAACAGTCAAGTGGGGTCAAATGGGGCCCAAGCCCCCCCCCCCCCTAAATCAACTCCTTTCCAGCCCCAGAATCCTCCACGTAGAGACTCAGAGCCGAGCCATCCTCCAAATCCTCTGCCTCTGGAGAAAAGGCAAAGTCCACTTGAAAAGCAGGGATGAAGGGGGTCCGCTGGCGTGACCCTAAGTCCCGGCAGGAGGAACAGGCTCAAATGCCTTTGCTGCCAATCCGAGAGGGAAAGTCTCTGAAGCTGCCCGAGTCTCACCACCAACAAAACCCTGCCCCCGATTCCGAAAACCTCAGACGTTTGGGAACCGGGAGCAAGAAGGGGGGGGGGGGGAAGCATTATGAACTACAGCAGGGGAAGGACAAGAGGGTGCAGACCAAAACCAAAGTCAAGGCGACTTATACCCCCAAGTCCTGGGCCCTATAACCCAAAAGGGGCAGCCCCGGGGCATCTGGAAAGGCAACCAACTGTGCTCGTTGCATCAACCTAAATCTGTAAATGACGAGCATTGTATGCTTGTCGCATACAATGCGGAAGCTGCCTGCACCTGAATATCAGTAACAGTGGAATGGGTGAACTGGAGAACATGCAAGAAACACCACTTGCAAGACTCTGGGTCAAAGGTGTCATTGACCCAACAGGCAGCATGGTGGAGGCAAAGACGATGAATGTCACCCCTGAGACAAGGGGACAGAGCAACCTTCAAACTCGCATGAAATGAGGTGGGACTCAGAGGACTTCTCCATTGGACCTATGAGCCCTAATGGGGGGGATTCCAGGGCCCCTAGGCTGACGGCTAAGAGAAGCCCAGGCAAGGTACTGCTAACCGGTATTCTAGAGATACAAAGCAAATAAACTAAAAGCTGAACCCCTGTGGCATGTATGTACAATCACAGGGGCCTAGAGGAGGG